CAAATGCCTATCGATGATAGACTGGACAGGGAAAATGTGGCACATATACACTATGGAATACTATGCAGCCATAAAACACAATGAGCTCATGTCCTCTGTAGGGACATGGATGAACCTGAAAACCATCATTCTCAGCAAACTGACACAAGAACAGAAAATCAAACACTGCATGTTCTCACTCATAAACAGGTGTTGAACAATGAGAACACATGGACACAGGGAAGGGAGTATCACACACTGGGGTCTGTGGGGAGGGGGGGAAATAGGGGAGGGACAGCAGGGGGTGGGGAGTTAGGGAGGGATAACATGGAGAGAAATGCCAGATATAGGTGATGGGGAGGAAGGCAGCAAACCACACTGCCATGTGTGTACCTGTGCAACAATCTTACATGTTCTTCACATGTACCCCAAAACCTAAAATGCAATTTAAAAAAGACTAAAAATAAAAGAGAGAAAGCAGGAAAGATCTAAAATCGACAACCTAACGTCACAATTAAAAGAACTAGAAAAGCAAGAACAAACAAACTCAAAAGCTAATAGAAAACAAAAAATAACTGAGATCAGAGCAGAACTGAAGGAGACAGACATGAGGAACACTTCAAAAAAAATCAATGAATCCAGGAGCCAATTTTCTGAAAAGATCAATAAAATCGATAGACCACTAGCCAGACTAGTAAAGAAGAAAAGAGAGAAGAATCAAATAGATGAAATAAAAAATGATAAAGGGGATATTACCACCAATCCTACAGAAATACAAACTACCATCAGAGAATACTATAGACAACTATAGACAACTCTATGCAAATAAACCAGAAAATCTAGAAGAAAGGGATAAATTCCTGGACATTTACAACCTCCCAATACTAAAGCAGGAATAAGTCAAATCCCTGAATAGGCCAGTAACAAGGTCTGAAACTGAGGCAGCAATTAATAGCCTACCAATTAAAAAAAAAAAAAAAAGCCCAGGACTAGATGGATTCACAACAGAATTCTACCAGAGGTACAAAGAGAAGCTGATACCGTTCCTTCTGAAACTATTCCAAAAAATAGAAAAAGACAGAATCCTCCCTAACTCATTTTATGAAGCCAACATCATCTTCATTACCAAAACCTGGCAGAGACACAACAAAAAAAGAAAATTTCAGCCCAATTTTTCTAATGAACATTTCTGTGAAAATCCTCAATAAAATACCGGCAAACTGAATCCAGCAGCACATCAAAAAGTTTATCCACCACGATCAAGTCGGCTTCATCCCTGGTTGCAAGGCTGGTTAAACATATGTAAATCAAGAAACATAATTCATCACATAAACAGAACAAAAAAAATCATATGATTATCTCAGCAGATTCAGAGAAGGCCTTCAACAAAATTAAACAGCCCTTAATGCTAAAAACTCTCAATAAACTAGGTATCAATGGAATGTATTTCAAAATAATAAGAGCTATTTATGACAAATGCACAGCCAATACCATACTGAATAGGCAAAAACTGGAAACATTTCCTTTGAAAACCAGCATAAGACAAGGATGCCCTCACTCACTACTCCTATTAAATATAGTATTGAAAGTTCTTCCCAGTGCAACCAGGAAAGAGAAAGAAATAAAGGGTATTCAATTAGGAAAGAGGAAGTCAAATTGTCTCTATTTGCAGATGGCATAATTGTATATTTAGAACACCCCACTATCTCAGCCCAAAATCTCCTTAAGCTGACAAGTAACTTCAGCAGTCTCCAGATATAAAATCAATGTGCAAAAATCACAAGAATTCCTGTACACTAATAACACACAAACAGAGATCCAAATCATGAGTGAACTCCCATACATAACTGCTACAAAGAAAATTAAATACCTAGAAATACAATTTACAAGGAATGTGAAGGGCCTCTTCAAGGAGAACTATCAGCCACTGCTCAGGGAAATAAGAGAGGACAAACAGATGGAAAAACATTCCATGCTTATGGTCAGGAAGAAACAATATTGTGAAAATGGTCATACTGCTTAAAATAATTTATATATTCAATGCTATCCCCATCAAGCTACTATTGAATTTCTTCAAAGAATTGGAAAAAACTACTTAAAATTTCATATGGAATGAAAAAAAGAGCCATCATTGCCAAGACAATCCTAAGCAATAAGAACAAAGCTGAAGGCATCATGACACCTGACTTCAAATTATACTACAAGGCTACAGTAATCAAAACAGAATGGTACTGGTACCAAAACAAATATATAGACCAATGGAGCCAAACAGAGGCCTCAGAAATAATGCCACACATCTACAACCATCAAATCTTTGACAAATCTGACAAAAGCAAACAATGTGGAAAGGATTCTCTATTTAATAAATGGTGTAGGGAAAACTGGCTGGTCATAGGCAGAAAACTGAAACTAGATTCCTTCCTTACACATTATACAAAAATTAACTCAAGATGGATTACAGATCAAAACATAAGACCTAAAACCATAAAAATCCTAGAAGAAAACATAGGCAATAACATTCAGGACATAGGCATGGACAAAGACTTCATGACTAAAACTCCAAAATCAATTGCAACAAAAGCCAAAATAGATAAATATAATCTAATTATACTAAAGAGCTTTTGCACAGCGAAAGAAACTATCATCACAATGAACAGGAAACTTACAAAATGGAAGAAAATTTTTGCAAACTCTCTATCCAACAAAGGGCTAATATGCAGAATCTACAAGGAACTTAAACAAATTTACAAGAAAAAGACAACCCCACCAAAAGTGGGTGAAGGTTATGAACAGATAGTTCTCAAATGGAGACATTTATGCAGCCAACAAACATATGAAAAAAAGCTCATCATCACTGGTCATTAGAGAAATGCAGATCAAAACCACAATGAGATACCATCTCACACCAGTTAGAATGGTGATCATTAAAAAGACAGGAGACAACAGATACTGGAGAGGAGAAATAGGAATGCTTTTGCACCACTGGTGGATGTATAAACTAGTTCAACCATTGTGGAAGACGGTGTGCCAATTCCTCAAGGATTTAGAACCAGAAATACCATTTGAAACAGCAATCCCATTACTGGGTATATACCCAAAGAATTATAAATCATTCTATTGTAAAGATACATGCACATGTATGTTTATTGCAGCACTGTTCACAACAGCAAAGACTTGGAACCAACCCAAATGCACATCAATGATAGACTGGATAAAGAAAATGTGGCACATACATATACACCATGGAATACTATGTGGCCATAAGAAAGGATGAGTTTATGTCCTTTGTAAGGACATGGATGAAGCTGGAAACTATCATTCTCAGCAAATGAACACAAGAAAAGAAAACCAAACATCACGTGTTCTCACTCATAAGTGGGAAGTGAACAACACACACTGGGGAACATCACACACTGGGGCCTGTCAGGAGGTGGGTCACTAGGGGAGGGTTAGCATTAGGAGAAATACCTAATGTAGATGATGGCATGGTGAATGCAGCAAATCACCATGGCACGTGTATACCTATGTAGCAAACCTGCGTGTTCTGCACATGAACAGCAGAACTTAAAGTATAATAAAAATAGTAGTATGAGTTATAGAAAAAATGAAACAATCTACCCATACTATTAAACTGTAGACTATTTAGAATGAAAACCTACAGAATACTGCAAATTTCTCCTTGATGAATGGAGTAATAAAAATAATGACCATTTCATAATGCCAGTTATTACAGGAAGAAGGTAAGTCTTGGGCTGCAGACATAGAAAGAACCAAAGCCCTTTTCTTCCCAGTGAAAACACGTCTTTTTTGTTTTCCTTCATAATCATTTTTATTCAAAATAAGTATGAGCCAAGATCTCCTGAAGTTTGAGAGATGGGAATCAAGAGAAATCTGGTAAACACAGATGAAAGATGTTAGATAGAAGTATTTGAGAATACAATATGTTGGTGGGAGTTTGTGAAAAAAAGTGCAGGAGTTGGAGATTTGAGTAACACATCCCTTTGATGGTCTCTTTGATAGTAGAAGCAAACTTAGCGTAACAATACTGACTTAAATCCATCCATTCACTCAAGGCAAAGCAGGAAAAGTAAATGACTGACTTAATTGCTAAATCTGAAAGGGGAGGGAGGGCACTTGTTGACCAGACCTCTTCTTTATCACTCAGTGAGGAGTTAGCCACATAAGACATGAGCCTGCTCTGCAATTTTGGGTAATGTTCTGTCTTTAAAAGGAGATTCCTGTATCAGCCTACCCCTGCTAGGAGTACAAGTCATAAGCCCGGGCTTTGGTACTAGGAAAACCATTAACCAATATCTGCTCATCTTTCATACACATTTTTTGTCATTGCTTCTCAACTGGTTTACTACTTGAGTCCAGAAATGTAGTGTTACTAATGGAGACTCCTTTTATTCCAATATGTGCTATAATGGCTGAAAACTTTGAGAAGGAATAAGGAGAATATGGAGGAGTAAAGTGTACATTACAAGGAAAATCTTTTTGGAATTAGGATGCATGTGTGGGGCTCTGAGGTTTTTATATTTATTTATGTATTTATTCTGGAATCAGTCTTGCTCTGTTGCCCAAGCTGGAATGCAGTTGTGTGATCTCAGCTCACTACAACCTCTGCCTCCTGGGTTCAAGCGATTCTTTGCCTCGGCCTCCCAAGTAGCTGGAATTACAGGTGTCCACCAACATCCCTGGCTAATTTTTGTACTTTTAGCAGAGGTGGGATTTCATCACGTTGGACAGGCTGGTCTCAAACTCCTGACCTCAAGTGATCTGACTACCTTGGCCTTCCAAAGTGCTGACATTACAGCTGTGCCCCACCACACCCGGCAATACACAGGATATTTCTAATCTATTTTTAGATGCCTACTTTGAGCTATAAGTCTGATTTTCACAAATTTATAAATATGCAGTTGTTTTTTCATATCTCTTTCCTTGGCCCATGCATGAAAGTCAAATATGGGCCAAGGTAAGAGATATGAAGCCTTAAGTTTCTTAATATTTTATCTTTGCAGGACACAGCATTTCGTTGTTTTAGGTGAGTGGCTATTTTTAAGTTTCATCAACAGTTTTCTAATATGTTGGCTGCATGTGCCAGACCTCAAATAAATGACGATCGGCCCCAACAATCACAGGGTACTCAAGTTTTAACAAAGGGACAAGCATGAGGGTTGTACAAATGGGGTTGAGGGTGGCTCAATCAACTTTGAAACACAAGTGTGACCTGACAAAAGCTAACCACAAGAGGGTTGGTGAGTTTTTGCCGTCTAGACAGGCATAAGCTAAAGGGTAGGACTTAGCAAGCTTAGGCAGCTTCAGAATGCAAATGACTGGTGTCTGACCATAAATTAATTATACAATTACAGCCTTTTCCTGTTTCAACTACAAGGAATAGACTATACCACACATAACTTTTCATATATTAGAAGCAAAAAATGTTTTTCTTCTTTTAAACAGGAAGACACCTGAATCCTGAGGATATTTAAGATATCCTAGCTTTCAATGATTAATTTTATGCCTTGCTAGTCATTTCTTGATTGGTTGTCTCCAAAATCCGCTTTCAACTTAAGCCATGAAGAAAACTTTGAGCATATGTCTTACCCACATGCTCACAAATCAAAAGAAACTCAAATCAAAGAACTGAATGGGAAGTTTAAGGTCATACAGGTATTGTAAATGAATTCAGCAATTGCCTGTTCCCTAAGGGAAAATGCCAAAGTGATTTCTGAAATTAATCCTCTATAGGGGATAAAAAAAAGGGACATATGAGAGGGGAATCAGAAAGTATAACACATTGAGTGCAGACCTGAATTTGATGCTAGATGAAAGTTCAGTAAGGTCTGTCTACATTCTTTGGATGTGGATATAGTTTCTTCACACCAGTTTTTGAAAAGACTGTCCTTTTTCCTTTGAATGGTCTTGAAATTCTTGTCAAAAATCAGTTAATAAGAGCCAGGGATCTGTGGGAAATTTTCACGTTCTCACCATGACTGTGTGGGTTTTCTTCAGGCATTCTGGTTTTCTTTCACTTCTCAAAGTTGTGCATGTTAGATTCAGTCTGAGTAGGAGAGAGAGATAGAGAGAGAGAGACAGACAGACAGACAGAGAGATACTGGGCCCTGTAATAGAAAAGTGTCCTGTCCAGGGTTAGTTCCTGCCTTGTGCCCTGAGCCCTGTTGATATGCTTTGACCCTCCCTGATCCAGAACTGGAATAAGTTAGTTAGAAAATAAATTTCTGAATGAATGAAACAAATTATTGTAAAATAAATATTTGTAAAGTATGTAATAATCATGTACAATAATAATGCACAACAATAAATGATGTGGTATGAAAGTGCTCAGTAAGTACACCGTATTTGTTATTGCTTGGTTTTGAACTGCGTAGTGGTAGGAGATGCTCCTTGCAACTTTTGCTTTGCAAACAGGTGTTCCTTAATTTAACTCACCACCGCTGCAACCATCATCACTCACTGATTCACCAAAGATTGGGTAAGTAATTATCTTACTTGTTTTTATCCATCTTTCTTAAATGCATGTATTAACTCACACTTATTCAATGTTTAATATTAGAAATATTTTTGAGTCTTTGTAAGTTTGGTGATGATTTTGTGACCAAAAATATGCCATAAAACTTAACTCATTTATATCAATTAATCTATGGTAAAACTGGTTTTTGTCATATATCATTTCCTTTAAAGTTGCGGCTTCCAAGAACCTATTGGTGACTTAAATGAGGACTTAGTGTATACACAATGGAATATTACTCAGCTTTTTGCTTCAACACAGTTAAACCTGGAAGACATAATGCTAAATAAAATAGGCCAGGAACAGAGAGACACATACTGCATGTGCTCACTTACATGTGGAATCCAAAACAATGGACCTCATAGAAGCAGAAAGCAGAACACTGGTTACCATAAGCTAAGGGATGGTGGCAATGGAGAGATGTTGGTCAGAGCTACGAAGTTAGAAAGGAGAAATAAATGATAACTATTTAAGGTGATAGATATGTAAATTAGCTTGATTTCATTCGGCCCTATCTACCCATATGGTAAAATCACTGTGTATCCCATTATTTACATACAATTAAAGGTGTCCGAAAAGCTTTCTCCAGATTCAGAAAACCTCTTCACAAATGTAGAAGAGAAAGAAAACAATTTTATTGGGCTGGGTGCGGTGGCTTGCACCTGTAATCCCAGCACTTTGGGAGGCCTAGCCCGACAGATCACCTGAGGTCAGGAGTTGGAGACCAGTGGACCAACATGGAAAAACCCTGTCTTAAAAAAAAAATAGAAAGAAAACAATATTATTACTGAATATGCATTAAACTAGAATGTGGTATGCATTCCATGCAATCTACTAAGAGACTGTAAAGACAATCTTTATGATAGGAGGTAATTCTGCAACTTGGAACAGGGTACTCTTACAAGTCAGGCTCCTAACTTTCCATATAAACTGGGAGATAATGACACTGTCTTCCTTGAGGCTTACATTTCAAAGAGATGATTACCAGTTACTTAAGAAAGATGTGGTTGTCATAAAGCTGGCCAGTGGATTATTTATCTTTTAAAAGATTTTACACACATTTCCAAAAGCAAAAAAAAAAAAAAAAAAAAAAAAAAAACTTACAATGACATATTTTCTAATGTAAATGTTCTTTAAAAATGTCGGAAAGTCTTGCCTTTTTTTCACCCAAGAGGTTCAAAAATCTCTTATGGTAAATTTGGATTCACCCTTACAACAGGCATTTGAATTTCAGGTGGAATTCTTATTGAACCTCAAAAATCAGTAGGCCAGGCTCACACTGCCAGGGAAACAGAGAACCAGAGACTTCAGTTTTCATTCTGGAGACATCTCCACCTGAAAAAATCTGAAGGTAGGAGGCTGAAGAGAGCAATTTTCAATAAAAATGCAAATTCATAAAAGGCAATAGTGGTATCAAGTCTCCTTCCTGAGTTTGTTTGGGACAAGGGTATATGTTCAAATGGATGTCATGTTGCAATACTAAATGCTAAGAAAAGTAGATAGTAGGCATTCAACAGCAGATGCAAGCCTGAAGAAAGACCTCCCAAAAAGTCAAACAGAAGAGATAACACTCAGAGAATGATGAAGTTTGGAGACTGTGTAGTCCTGAGGTCCTCCAAAGAACCCATTAATGTACCATCATCAAAGATCTTACACTTACAAGTCTCTCGTAAAAGAGGGAATTCAAATACAAGATAAAATTACTAACAGCACTGAATAAATAAAAAGGCTTCCCTGTGGAAGTTCTTTCCCTTCCATTTTTATCTCTGGAGTTGAGTTGCAGAAGCAAGGGACAAATAACGTAGAGCAAACAGGATGAAAACAAATTAATTTCACTTCTGCTGTTTTGTCTCTTCTCTGGGGAGAACAGAAAAACATTGAATTCAATGTGAAATTAAAGATTGATTTAAATTGCCTAAATCAATACCTAAAAATGGCCAGACCTATAGAAACTTGTCCAAATGCAGCAAAGGGAAGTTATCAATGTTGGGAGAAAAAAATCTCACAAAGTATTTGAGAACAGTATGTTTCCCAATAATACCATACCAAGTCTAATATATTTATTAAACCATTGCTTGTGCTATATATTTAAATTCAAAATATAGTCACACAATTTTATGTAAAGCAAATGCCTGTGTAGAACTCTATTTCCTTTGGCTATACAATCTGGGTGTTCTTTGTTTTGTTTTGGGTACATATATGTTTGTGTTTTGCCATCTGTAAATATACAGATTTTTTTAGCTCTTTTAAAGATCTTCATCACATTTATTATATAATTTAATTACTTTGAACACTGTTACTTCCTCCAGCCTTCTCTCCCTGACTTATTTCTATGTTTTGCTTTGTTATTATATGATATGTAACATTATCGTGTATTTTCATGATTTATAACTTTTTTCTTTTGTGTATCATAATTCTCATGACTATAATATCTTTTCACATGTAAATGGATTCATTGCTTACCAGCAGATATGTCATGGCACGGTTCTCTACTCCTGAATGCCTCATTTTATTGTCTCTGTTAGTTGGCAGTAGCTCATCTTCAAGCCATACCTTTCCATAGACTCTAAGAGCACTATATTCCCTGAGCTCTTGCGTTGTTTGTAAACGTCTTTTTCCTGTATTCATGTATGAATGAAAGTTTGCTGTGTAGAACATTTGATTCACTCTTTGTGTCACTTAGCATTCTGCTGCCATTACATTACTATGAATTGAAATGGACACTGCTCTTGAGACATCCGAGTCACACTTGATTTTTTTCTTCATTAGTTCTTTCCATAGCTTACATATTTCTCTAATGAATCCTTGTTGAATACTTTCTTCACATTTAAGTTTAATATTTTCACCACTTCCTAGTGTCATGGTTCAGAGTACCTGCAGGTCTTCAGGTGCAAAGTGCCCTGATGGTGGCAATTTCACAGTGGTGGGAGGAGGACTCTATAATGGGAGTGGAGAGTGGGGAGAGGCCCAGAAGGCAGGGAGACAGCTGCACCACATTTAAAGCTACTGTTGCTATTGTGATGGCTCCTCCTTCAGGCTCAGGCTGCTCCTTCCAGCACTGCTCCTATCCATAGGGATCACAGAATCCAGTACCAACAATGATCATCACAATAGCCTTAAAGCCAAAAGAGGTGCCAGTAGCCCAAAGTCTATAGCTAGGCTCCTTGTGGTTTGGCTTGCTACTCTGCTGACTCTACATCTGTGCTGTTAAGAAGCTCAGGACAAGAACTATCTTGACTTGTTGTTCTCATCATGAAAAACTCAATCCAAAAGGCATCTAGAAGTCTAGTATGGCAAGGAAAAAAAAAAAGCCTTTTTTGAAACTACTAATACCACCACTTATATTACTGATGCAGAAAATGTTGAGAACTTCAAAATTGTCTGGTTTTAAGAGTATCTGAAGGATTTGACTAGATGGTGCATGCAAATATTTAATCTTCTAGAGTTTCATGTACAGGACTGAAGAGACAGACATCTACAAATAAAGACATGAGTTCATTAAAGGTGGCCTAAGAAATATGAAGAAGTGGAATTCTACCTTGAAAATAAGAGGATTTTACCCTGATCCATAGAAAAAAAAGGTAAGATAGGGATTAGAGATTCTGTTTTCTTTTTGGTTCATCAAATATATATGGCCATAAAACAACTTTGTAATATATAAAGCTCTCATGGTCTCTTTTGTACATTGGAAGAATCTCCAGGTGTTACTATAAATCTTCCATATTATTTGAAAATACTAATTTTACACAGATCTATGAAAAATGTTTTACACTGTTATATCTGCCCTGTTTTTCCCCCCTCTGGTCTTTGGATTCGATTTTTCAATTGACTTTCTATGTAGTAATTGTTATGTGCCATTGCAATCATTGATTGCAATCTAACCCAAATCCAAGTATAATTAGTATGTCTTGCTTAGACAGTGACAAAGTAAAAGGGTATTTCTCATCCCAAATTGACTTCAACTAAATTTTAAAATATTTTTATTTTTGCAGATGTTCAATAAATTTAAGAACTGTGAAAATACTTGTTTTGAAGGCATATTTGACAAAACTTGAAATTAAGAGACAGGTATTTGAAAGGGTCAAAAACAATTTAAACCAGATATTTGGGAAGCAACGATGTTAAACTGCATTAAATTGTCTCTCTTTCTCTTTCTCATACTGTTTTTGTAAGTACTATTTTTTTAACTTTATATATCAGAATAGTCACATTTGAAACACTTTCTTTATAAGCTAACGGTTGTAGTTAGAACCCGTTCTTAGTCCTAAAGTGGGCTCGATCTACAAGATAAACTTTTTACAACTTCTACAATGCACACATAACTTTCAGAAATAAACATTCTATGAAGTCTTTGATTCAAACAGTCACATGCTGATGCTTCAATATTCTAGTATCCAATATGGCCAGTGTGTTCTAAATAACCAAAGGCAATTATGCCATCTTTAAAAACTTCATTGAAGAAAACAAAATTCAACAGATCTCAAGCCACTGTTTGTAGGAATGAACCCTTCTTTTTGCTTCATATCTAGGCATTTTGTAACTATTCTGAATTATACTTTGTAATTATATATGTATACTTTGATTAATCGTAGTTTTTCATGTTATAAAATTGTTTTGCATTGGGAAAACACTTTAAAAAAAGAGTAAAGAGCAAAAACAAGATCAATAAACTTAGCCAGAATATATCTCTGTGTATACTATCCTGTATGAATCTTTCTTAAAACATTGTATTTATTACCACTATGCATATTTATGGTTTTATTTAGGTAAAGTTGTCTTCTTTATATCTTTAATAGAGGTATGTCTTCTTTTCCTGTTAGTGTTTTCAATAATACTCTGTGCATATTCTGGATTTCCTTGGTTTGACACTCATATGCAGAACACATTTGCTTCCTTGCATAATTTTCGCCAGCCTCTTCTCCATGACACTGCATTCATGTTCAGTGGTATCTTTTCTAGTTCTTGATGTTTTAAATGCATATCTCATTTTTGTAATGGTTCAGTTGTTTTCTTTCCTTAGCTTTCCTATCATTAATGTTCTTTTGTTTTCTCAGAGACAATAGAGGAAAATAACTAAGACCACAGATTTTGGAGCCATACGGCTTGGGATACAGTCCCTTCCATGCTGTGTAACCTTGATCAAGTTACTTACTCTTTCATTAACTTTGCTTCTAATCTTTTTAAAAAAATGAGAATAATAATACTATTTATCTTATTAGGTTGCTGTGAGAATTACATGAGCACTTGGTTGAGTACTTGACTAGAGCAGATGAAGCACTGAGTCACTGAGTGCTCAAAAATTCCCACCAGAAAAGAAAGGATACTATTTTAATAATAGCAATAGCTAAGGATATCTCTGTTTAAAATAGTCTTCTTTCTTTTTGATTGTTATGTAGGAGGTGTTTTTGTTTTGTTTTGGCTTATTTGTTTTAAAAGGGAGTGTTTCAAATGAACCTACTCTTTGTTTAAGAAGATTGTAATTAGCTATGAGCTAAAGCACCAGCAGATAAATGATCCTGGAAAAGTGTGCTAAAAGTCAACGGAATTCAATCCTCTTTCTGGTGAGTACAACAATGAAAGCATTTGGATTGAACTGCTCAACGATCTTGGGGATGGATATCACATCTATCTCTGGAATGTAGCTGAAAACTAACACTTACATCTGTTTTGTTTTCTTTCTCACTTCATTTCCAGCATTTTTTTTCTGGTCATGAATGAGATATGGTGAAGGAATAAGATTTTTGTGTTCACATAATCTTGAGACCCTCAGTCTCTCTGTGAAGTTGAAATTGGATTCTGTGTTTTGGTAGCCCTGGCAGCCTTTTACACTTTATAGATTTTGGTTATCTTCAGTTTAATTAAATATGGTGCTTGCAGTTTTTATTCTTCTCCTTTGTAAAATAATGTTTCTGTCTGCTATATCTGTATGGAATATGTAAAAGAAAAGTGCTGTCAAATCATTATGCAAAAATGGTGATTTCAAAACACACATGTTCCGTAACTGTGACTTTTTCAGCTAATCAGGCAAAAAAACACTTCTTAAAATTCTCTCTTGATATGATACTAATATTAACATTCTATATAAATACAAGTAAACAGGACTCCCAATTATATCTTTTTCAATCTCTAAGTAACCATGGTGCAAAATTTTTGCATGTATTATGAAAAATAAAGACTTCATAATACTGCGATTTTTTCTTTGTTTTTGTTTTGAGACAGAATTGCTCTGTCACCCAGGCTGGAGTTCATTGGTGAGGTCTCGGCTTACTACAACCTCTGCCTCCAGGGTTCAAGCGATTCTCTTTCCTCAGTCTTCCGAGTAGCTGGGATTACAGGCGCATGCCACCACACCTGACTAATTTTCATATTTTTAGTAGAGATGAGGTTTCATTACGTTGGGCAGGCTGGTCTCAAACTCCTAAGTGTCTGCTCTCCTTGACCTCCCAAACTTCTGGGATTACAGGTGTAACCCACCACAGCCGGCCCATAATACTGCTTTGTATTATGCCTTATTCCACCACTAAAGTATGAAGCTCTTTTGTCAAAAAATAATATCTTGCACATTTACATGCCTTAGCAGAGAGCTAGGCACATATTTGCCATGTAAAATATGCTTATAATCACCACACTGTTTTCCACAATGGTTGAACTAATTTATACTCCCACCAATAGTGCAAAAACATTCCTACTTTTCCACGTCCTCTCCAGCATCTTTTGTTTCCTGACTTTTTAATGATCGTCATTCTAACTGGCATGAGATGGTATCTCCTTGTGATTTTGATTTGCATTTCTCTAATCACCAGTGATGAGATTTTTTTTTCATACGTTTGTTGGCTGCATAAATGTCTGGTTTTGAGAAGTGTCTGTACATATCCTTTGCTCACTTTTTTGTTGGGGTTGTTCATTTTTTTTCTTGTAAATTTGTTTAACTTACTTGTAGATTCTAGATATTAGCCCTTTGTCAAATTGATAGATTGCAAAAAATTTTCTTCCATTCTCTAGGATCTAGAACAAGAAATATCATTTGACCCAGTAATCCCGTTACTGGATATATACCCAAAGGATTATAAATCATTCTACTATAAAGACACATACACATGTATGTCTATTGCAGCACTATTCACAATAGCAGACTTGGAACCAACACAAATGCCCATCACCAATAGACTGGATAAAGAAAATTTGGGACCTATATACCATGGAATACTATGCAGCCATTAAAGAATGAGTTCATGTCCTTTGCAGGAACATGGAGGAAACTGGAAACCATTCTCAACAAACTAACACAGAACAGAAAACCGAAAACCACATGTTCTCACTAATAAGTGGGAGTTGAACGAGAACACATCGATACAGGGAGTGGAACTTAATACACCAGGTCCTGTCAGAGTGGGGTGATAGGGGAGGGATAGCACTGGGAGAAATACCTAATGTAGATGATGGGTTGATGGGTGCAGCAAACCACCTTGGTACATGGATACCTATGTAACAAACCTGCACGTTCTGCACATGTATCCCAGAACTTAAGTATAATTTTAAAAATATGTTTATATATATGTGTGTGTGTGTGTGTGTGTGTATGCTTGTAAATTAGAGTTACATAGATGAATGTTAAAAAGTTTAAAATGATTTTAAGAAAACATTTGAGGTGGAGAACATTTATGTATTCAAAACCACTATGGTATGCCATGAAACTAATAGGAATAGAGTATATGATATCTATCACAGAACGTCTCTACACTTAATAGTTATTCTTAGGAATGTCTAAGGTCAAACACTACATTTTTATAGTGTTTAATCTAATCTCGAATTTCTAAAAATTATTATCAAATCCCTGCCCAGGTGGCATTTCTCATATCTATTAATCACCGCTCCTGCTATTTAATGACACTGTGTACACCAGGGCTTGGACAGAACTTTGTGAAAATAAAAGATAAGACAAAACTAAATGACTAAATATGCATATGGGGAAACTTGATTGAATTTTCCAACAAAGTTACTTTTTAGATTTTAGTAAGTATATTGGAAATCTTAAGATACTAATGAATAACTTACATAGTATTTTTGTTTTTAACATATTTGAATTAAATATAATTTTGCTCACATTACATTGTGGATATCTTTTCAAAAACTTTTAAATTTAATATTTTTCTGTTGATCTGATATATTCCCCCCCTTACTTAGAAAAACAAAACAACACTTTTCCTATACACATTTGTCCTTTGGTATACGTGAGAGAATGGGGAACTTGTTCCAGATCCCTTATAGACACCAAAATTCACAGATTCTCAAGTCCTTTGTATAAAATGCCTTAATATTATCATATAACCGAGGCACAATCTAAAGCATCTCTAGACTACTTATAATACCCAATAAACTGCCTACACATTACTTCACAGAGATTCAGCATAGTACTTGACATGCAGCAAATTTGGGTTTTGCTTTTTGAAACCTTGTGGATTTTTATTTTTTTCAAATATTTTCAATCTGTGGTTACTTGAATCCATGGATGTGAAACCCAGAGACATGGAAGGCTAACTGTATTTCTTTTATTTACATACTATTCTGACATTGTATAAGTGCAAAATGTCCAATAAAAATACCATAATTCATAATATTTTAGAAATTTATCAGTGAGCCTTTTGCCAGACTAACAGCTCCACCCTAACTGCCTGCCCAAATACTGACACTTGTTCCGCTGAGCAGATATGTTTTTGGACTCTAAATTTATAAAAGAGGTGGATTTCAGGTATCTAGTATGTAACTAGGCAGCTAAACCCACATCCAGCTTCCTCAAAAACTGGTTTCTTCTCTAAACTTGTGACAGCTTCCAACCCATCAGTACTTTTATTTATAGCCAACTTTTGATCCTTTCCCACTTCTTTTGTCTGTCCCAGACCAAAGGAGATCACAATTGGACTGTCTGTGACATCATGTCTAATTCTTAAAAGTGGCTGCCTTCCCAAAAACTAGAAGCAGCCGCTGGGAAAAAAAAAAAAAGTCACTTTAAAAAGTGAACAATATTAAATGTTTTGAATAAGTAATCATTGTACCTATTATAATATTTAAAATAAAATAAAATAAAATGTCTGTCTTAACATAGTATGTTTCCCTTAATGCCTCAAATATCATAAGAAGGGTAGGTTACTTTTTTCCTGTTTATTCTTCCAGAGACATTCTACATTTAACAAAACATTAACGTTTATTTTACGTATTTTACACAAGTGACCCCAAAGTATTCACACTATTATAGATCTTGTTTTTTCCTCAACTATTTTACCTGACTACATATGGGGAAGCTTTGTAGGCATATGAGCAGAAGAAGAATGTTCTGGAACATAAATAAGACAGTAGAGTTACCCTTCAATGAAGCAAGAAAACAAGGGGTCAGCATTTTGTTCCTCAGTACAAGTCAGTTATAGGTAACCTTCCTGGTGAGTCAACTCCAGTTAGCCAAGGACAATGATCAATCAATGATAGAAGAACGGCAGCCATTAATTGAAAGCAACTGAGAATCGAGACATTCAGTCACACTCACGGCAACAGAGGGATGTGTGCCCTCATCCACTAACAGAAAACTAGATGGGGCATTACATTACTAGATATATGTTTTACTTTAATATTGAATTTGATTATTTTTCTCAGTGTCTGCTTGCATTCATAAGTCCTTAAGGATAAATCAAACCACACATCATGGTAATATAATCTGTAAAACAGATACTAGCCTGCAAGACATTACAAGAGAACTTTGAACACGGACCTCAAAAAAAAAAAAAAAAAAAAAAAAAAAAAAAAAAACTATATAATACACCATGATCTCATTTATATCTTACACAAAACTTCAAATCTAGTTAAATCTCCCAATCTCTCCTTCAGGGACTGGCTTTACAAATAAGTACAGTTCTGCAAAGCAGAGCGTTAAGACAAGTTCTCAGTCAACAACAAAAAAAAAAGGACAGAAAGAATCCCCATCACACAGTAAAGCCTAAAACTACCTGAAAAATCTCCGCAGAAAAAAAGCAAAAGAGCCTGGAATCTGCAAGTCAGGAAGAGAATTCCTAGTGCTGGCACAATGAAAAGAAATAGATATAAAATCGGAGTCAGTGTCAGGGAGAAGAGTAAAATATTGGTCTCAACTTTTTGAGAAACAGGAGAATGTCATGAATATAGTGCTTGCTTTTTAAAGTTAGCTGGGACCATGTTCCAAATCAGCAGTGAAAAAAAAAATCTGAAAAGGTATATGCAAAGAGGAAAGAGAGTAAGTTCAAAGTAAAATGTAGATGGATGAGGCAAAGAGATACAGAGAGATGTTGTAGTTTGGGATGTGATTTAGAGTCAGATTTTGAAGTAACTATTGAATGGCTATAGTCCTTTTATAATTAGAACAATGAAGACTTTATTTAAAATTAGAAACTAGAATTGATTATAACAATAATCTCTAAGAGTGTAGGTTTTGTTTTTACTGGGCTGGAAATTACATTAAAATAATAATATATTGGGCTAATTAAAATGTTATAATTCACAGAATGAGTAGCGGATAATGTGTGTATCCACTT